CTGTCTGTAATCTATTAAGTATCTGCATGCACCCATGAGACTGCTATACAGAGGATATAATTATTTTGTTTACCACTTTGAGATTGATGTGAAGGGAATCAATACCAGTCACTTTGCTTTTCATTACTGAAGGCATCTGAAATGTTGACCAACCTTATCTTACTTGTGTCAAAGGGATCACAAAGCCCTTATAGACACACCATTTGACCTTCTAGGACATTCTTCAAAGAACTGGCAGGCTTAGCATGTCACTTTTTTCCTCACTTGAAGAAATTAAATCTAATTAGGAGGATCCTACTAATACAATATAGATACAGATTACAGGTGCACACAGTGTGTGGAGAGTCCAGAATGAAAATAGCTGTAATGAAGAAGCCTGGGGGAGGGGGAAGACCCTGAAATAGGCTGACTTAATTATCAGACTTGTACTCTAAAATAAGTGACTTCAGTAGCTGCGCTGGTGCAAAACAGCAAGTTGGAAAATTCTGCTGGGGAGAAGAAATCTCTCAAGGCATCTTCTTCTGCAGAATGTAAAACCAGAATTACGTACAAAAATAACAGTTGCACAGTTTTAGTTCCAGAGATTAATGCCTGATATTTGTTTCCCCTCTTCTTGACCCAGGTGTGGTTTGAGTCGATACACCTGAATTATTCACGTGTTTTAGGAGGGGAAGCATGACCAGAACTGACTTTTCCTTGGGAAACCTCTGACATTTCACTGGCCCTTAACGTTGTCCTGCTTACAGCAAATGCCACTTGAGACTTCTGTAAGGGAGAACAAAAAATGTGCTTGTGCATTCTTGTCATCTCCTGTGAAATCAAGTGACTGATTTCTGATGGAAATCTCAAAAGCACTGAGTTTATGCAGGTTCCTGCCGGGTCCACCTCAGAATAACTGGGGTTTGCACATAATGTTTGAGGCAAGGAGTGTTAATAGTGGCTTTTCTGAGAAACTAATTATTTAAGATATCCTTGACACTGTGCCATTGAAAGCAACTTATCGAGTAGGTACAGTAACAAGACAAACCCCAGCTGATTTCAAGTGCAATATCCAGGAGTAAAAAAATGTATTCTTGTTTTTTGTGTCCTTGTGTGACTGGGGAATTTCGAGCAGTCGCTGGAAGATGAAGGAATCCAAGTGTCTGCATTATTGGCCCCGGAGGCCATCCTGTGTGATTACTAATGCATGCAGGCACGGTCAATAAATTTCACGCTCATACATCTCACTGGCATTTTCCGAGCGTGGTGATTTGAGCGGCTTGCACTGATCAGGAATAGACAACAGGCAGCACAGCCTCGTGTGCTGGTGGGTCCAAAGTGGAGAAGTCTTCTGTCAAAACCTGAGAAAACACTTACCCTGAGTGTGAACTGGAGCAAGTTGGCTGGAGGTTGTGGAGGGTTCCATTGCTGCAGAGTTTCAAAGCCTGACTGGAAAAAAAGATCCTGAGCAGCTTGTTCAGATTGACTGTGCTTTGAGCAGGGGACTTGTGCCAGATTATCTCCAGTGGTGCTTCCAGTCTCAGCCATTCAGCTGCATTTATGAGACTTCAGTTTTTGGTTTTTAACCAACTTTTGTTCATTTAAATGAACATTTAAGGTCAAACTTCTGCCTTTAGTGAAATAAAGAATTTTAAGTGGTTTGTTTAAATTTAAGCACATTCACTGTCCCTTGTATAAAGTGGCTTCAAAGCATATTGAATTATTTTGACTATCATCTGCTAATGAGCTTTGCCAGTAGATACATGTTTCTTCCATTATCTGTTTCTGTTTTGTACTTTGTGAGTAATATTTGCAATTATTTTCTGCAGTACCATGTTGGTAACAGCAGCAGGAAGCCATGGTTAGCTCAGCTGGAACATTTTGGCCTCTAGAGTTCTTGCATTCAAAGAAATAACTGCCTGCTTATCTTTGTGGCATTCTGATTCTCTTCTTCCTCTCATCTCCTCTTTTGTTCAGTATTTCTTTATTGGTTAGAGTTAAGACAGATGGTAGGAATAGTAAATCCAAGTTGATGATAACAAATACTGTCTGACACTGGCATGTCTGTAACTAGGAAGATGAAAACAATGGGCAGTAAATATTTTGGAAAAGCTGAAAGAAGTTGTTATAATAATTCATAATTGTCTTGCTTGTTGGAGTGGCTAAACAAAGCGAAAATTATTTCCTTCTATTTGTGCACATTTTTGGAGAGCCTCAGAATTGCTGTGGTGGGGCATGGAGCTGGATTTCTGCTGCCATATTTAACGTTCCCCATGACTTCCACTCTCTTCCTGTGGTGAGTGTGTCCTGGGCAGGGTGGTGGGGCTGGCAGAGCTGTGCTCCCTCTGCTCCTCTCCACCTGCTCTGCATCAAAGCACCTGGAGGACAGATTTGTGATGTTAAAGCAAAGGTGCTTAGCCTTTGTTTCAGATCCTGTCTCTGTGGGAGCAGGTTACCTAATGAGCATGTTTTACTCATCTCACGGGGGCAAAGCCTGAGCTGTTAAATCTGTGGCAGCAAAACGAAACAATTTTTGAACCAAGTCATCGTTTTCAGCATCAATAGAAGGTCATGCCCTTGTCAGCTGGCATTGGTTCAGCATAAGGTTCCAGTCAGAATTGGCTGCAGGATGCTGAGAGCTGCTCTTTAAGGGACCTTCACCCTTTGCTATGTTTGGAGCTGTGAATATTTGGTCTGCTGAATATTCATGAGGGACTTACTGCTCCAGTCCTCCTGCAGTCCCTCAGAGTGCAGACCCCTTAGTCCTTGGGAGCTGCTCTGGCACAGAGACCTTTGTTAAAGCTCGTGCCACAGAATTCTTCCATCACTTCTTCTCTGCTTACTGTTGCATGTTAAGCCATGAACTTATTTGTTAAAAGTTCCAAATTCAACCCCGCTTGTACAGCTTCTGCAGTTCCAGGGCTGGCTTGGATCCCGAGGAACTCAGACCTCTGGGGACCTGGAGTTTGGCAGACTAAGCTTTTTGAGCAAGGTTATAAGTGAAGGCTGCAGAGCTTGTTCTCTTGACTTTGTGCTTGACTTACCTAACGTTTTACTCATCTGTACTGTACAAACATATCCAAAATCACATTACACCCCCCGTGATTTAAAGAATATGGCATTGCAAAAAGTCAGGGATGTGTTTCAATTCCAGGTGATTGCTCTCATCAAGACTTGCACTGCTCTGATCTTTTCCCAGTGCATCTATGGTTGCACACTGGAATCTCTTCCCACGAGCATCTTCAGATGCTGAAAAGAGATTAATTTTTAATCAAGTGAAATTACCAGAATACCAAACAGACGTTTTGAGCAATGTTTCTCATAAAAGAGAAGGTTAATAACATTCGTAAATTTAAGTTCTAGATAATGTCTTCCTGCACTCTTCTGAGGTCTTACAGGCATGTATAGGTAGCAGAGTATCCAGATCGGTAGCTCAGGTTATTTACATTGAAAACATAAATTAAATCAGCTTGCTGCCAACTTATGTTTTTATGTCATCATTAAGATACTCACTGATTATTTACTTATTTAAAATAGACCATAATTTTCCATGTTTTTTAAAGGGTAGAGGCTTTTAAAATGGCTCATATGGAATTGCCATATTTAATTAAAAATAATTTTAGAAGGGCTGTATAGGATTTCTTGCGCCGTTTTAACACTTGATCAAGTTACTGGTGGCATTTTGTAATATGTAGTGTTACCCTGCTGGTGTCTGTTTAATATTATTTCTGATTGTTATAACTGTTTACATTTCTTTTTGGTTAGAGGAAATGGTGGGTTCATTTTATTCTTTGGAAAAGTTTTTAAAAGGGCAAGCAGTGACAAGGCTTTGCTTCTGACCTCTGGATTGAACTGCTCATCAGGCAAAGTCTGAATTGCTAGGAAAAATGAAACTTCTGAGGAAAATTCTTGCCTGAGGTTGGATTTGTACCGATTCAACACATTTCTTATGATTCTACCCTGTCCCTCAGTGCTGCTGCTGGATCAACATGACCCTTCTGATGAATTTTACTGTGTGACAAACTGGATTTCCGTGTACGTGCTCTACTTGCTTGTGTGTCTCATGTTTGTGATGAGGTTTCTCCTTTGTTCTGCAGTACTTAAAAGCATTTACTTATCAGAGTTGAAGATAAATAAAGCATCCTGTTTCCTAATTAGCGACGTTTTCGTCAAGTGTCATCCTAAAGTCCTTGGAATGACTGTATTCAGACACAGTGCTGCCTTACAACTTGTAAATCATGGGCTGAAGCATAAAAAGTACTGTGGCAGGTGGCTGCTCACAGGGAGTGTGTATGGTTTTTAGAGATATGGTTTTCATGAGGCAGCCAAATGTTGGATGGGTTACAGGATGGGGGGATTTTAAGGTGAGAGTGAAATGTACCCTCCTCTCTCCTGTCACCCCAGCCCTGCTGGCTCAGTGTTCTACTCCAAAGGTGTGACTTGCACTGTCCACATGGAATGGTGTGGATTTCTAGTGGGGAAAGGAAGGCAGGTAAAACAGTTGGAGATGTGTGGTTTTGGGATTTAAATAAAAAAGTTGATTAAAACTCGGCAAAATGTAGCCCAAGACAGTGTTTGTGTTCCCTGGGATTTAAAACTTTGTATTACTGTGAACTTGATGTGAAAAATGCTCCTGTTTCCTTATAACTTCCAAGTACAAATATATTTAAACAAAGAGAAAATAAGCAGAAACATCTTGGCTATTTTTGCATCTCGTTACTATACAGTTAAACCAGATGATTTTTGAATTTTCTGAGATTTCAGTAGAAACTCTTCCATATACTAGAGTGTTCAAACCAGATAGAAATTTCTACCATGAACTTTGATTTTTTTTTTTCTTGCGGGGGGAAGTAGGAACCCTAATGATGAGAGCCTTGACTGAGCTGTTTGAACAAGGGGTAGCAGTGCAGTTTGTCAAGTGCTGATGGAGTTGTCCCGTTCCTCAGGTCAACAAGCCATTATTAGTCACACTAATGACAACATTACTGTTCCGAGTTTGATCTGTCTCCTGTGTTTTCCAGGGATATCCATAACTGAGTTGTGCTTTATGACCAAGGGAAGGAGCCTAACAACTCGCCTGAAAGGGTGGTAAGAGTTACCAGAATTTCTTCCATGTATTTGTATTTCTTTCGTTATTGCACCTGATCGTGTCTATGAAATCTAGAAAGCAAAATTTGTTACTTTTTTAATCAGTCCTGCTATTTACTGTCTTAGTCTCACAGTTGTCATTCTTTAGCCAACAATGAGGTGATGAAAGACTAAATTCATTTTATAGTAATAGCCTGCAGTGCCTTTTTTCAAACAGGAGGACTGTTGAACTGAGGATGGCTAAAATGTGCAAGAGTTGGATGGAATTAGTCTGCTTGGAATAGCAAATCACCATATAAAAACTAATGTCTGTATAATCAAAATGTAGAATAATTGACTGCATATAATGTAACTAATGATAAAGCTTCCCAAACTTTATAAATGGGCCTTTTCAAACAGTTTTGTCCTGCTGCTGTCTGGCTTTTAGACAAGAGGAGAGCTGGCTTCCCACCTCCTGACTGCCTGTTCTCAGCCCCTCGCTTCTGTGTCCAGTCTGTGCTGACAGACATTTCACTGGGGCTTGTTCTCAGAGCTCTCTCTGCAGAAATCTGTGGCTTGTAAATGGAACCCAGTTATAAATCCCGTGATTATTTACCTACTTGTGTGGTGGGATGTGTGGCTTTCTGCAGTGGAACTTCCCTGTTTGAAGGGAAGGGCCCTTGTCAGAACAGTGCAGTCAGCATAATCAAAGGCCAAGCAATTTATTAATTTGTATGACTTCCACTCATTTCTCAGAACTAATCAGACAGAAGTTTTCTTACACAAGGAAAAGTCATTTACATTGGGATAAAGGGACATGATTAAAAAAAGGTGGTCTCTTAAATGACTAAAAACAGAAGACAGCTGTACTTGTTAAATGACTAAAATTGATTGAATAATTCAAACTTTTAAAAGCTTTCATTTCTTTTATTAGTTGCCTTTTAAATTTGGTTTAGGGAAAGTAGATTTTTAGGTGAAAGAACGGAGTACTGTTTACATAGTACAAGCAAAACTGAAAGTTATTGCTTCTGAATATCCTAAGCAATGCAGAAGAGGTGGGAGATTTCTTAGGGAATTTTTCTCTGTAACAGTCATCCTAGGGTGAAATTCATAGTATTTAAAGCAAAGGAAAATCATTGTAGGGGTGAAAGGGAATAAAATGACAGTGACTGGGACGTGTTATCTCTTGCCAGACAGCCTCACTACTCTTTCAAAATTAGGAAAAAAGGTAGCAGGAAATCAAAGGAGATGCTGTTCGGGGATATGTGAGCAACCTGTTGTTATTCTGCAGCTTATTTGTGAAGGAAGAGAACGTACAGCTTTGAACATGTTCCTGTTCCTTCTACTCTGAAGAAACACCAGTAATTGTGCTATCATTACCAAAGGGCTTTTTTTACAGAGGTCACATCTAAGCCCCATTCCTTATTTCAGAAGTGAGGTCTTCTCTGTCTCCTTTTAAAGGGTGTGTCACCCTTCATCAGGAGTGCCATGCATTTGCAGAATGGTGGTGCTTTCAATTTGCAGCTTGTCAGCCCTGAAGAATGCTGCTTGGTTCCTGTGAGTGCAGCTCAGTGGCTGACACTGCTCACTTACACAGCAATTTCAGGTTTATTTTGGTTGGTTATTGGTTTGGGGCTTTTAATGATGAGATAGAATTGCATTTTTGAGCAACGGGCGGCGTGGTGGAAAATCTGTCAAGCTGGGGCCGTTTGGAACTGCTGTGCCTCCCACTGAGAGCAGCAGCCTTTCTGTGGCTTTCAGGGGGAGTAACATTCTACTGCTGAATGGGAAGACTTCTCCTCCTCTTTCAAAACCACTTACAATGGTCTGCTATAGTTCAGGTTGTGTGGAGACCAAGTAACTATTGTACTTCTTGGCTGTGGAAAAAAGGTGTTTTCTGAGTAGGAGAAGGCAGTTGTGATTCATTTCTGTTGTGCCAGCGTATTGTGTGGTCTTTTTTAATACCTGCAGCTCTGAAAGGCATTGCACCACAAAAATTGGTTATCTGGAACTGTTTGATTGTATCATCCAGTGTGTTTCATCACACTGGCTGTAGGAGGAGGTCTGCAGAGACTTGTGTGTCTCCCCACGAGGCAAAGGAGAGTTGCAGGATGAATATTTATTGGAGTAGTGGGAGAGATGGCCTAAATTCTGCCAGTGCAGATACTACTGGTATGTAAACAGGGACTGGAGATTGGAGAGAGAGCATCAGGCCATCCCCTGAATACTTGGAGGCTTCAAAACTGGATTAGTTCTCAACTCTGAGCAAAAGCTTAATTAAATACTATTAGTGCAATTTTCATGGATGTCATTTAATGAAAAGGTTTTTTTTACAAAGGTGAACATTTAAAAAAGTGAGATCCTGTATTTGCTATGCAGTTGTCATATGATTTTGTGTTTTTTAAGCCCCCTTAGGAAGATGATGTTACAAGGGATTTGGGCATAAAAGCTTCTAGCCCAGGGTTGCCCAGAAATGATTTGAAAAGCATTCAAAATAACTGCCTTTTCAGAAATGCATACTGAACAGATATTTCTAGGGCTGTGGCTGTGTGATTTAAATGGTCAGTTTTGCACACAGTTTTGTGTGATTTAAATGTACAAAATGCAGTTGACTTGATTGGAAACTTACTGCAGGCTGCCAGATTTCAGACCTGAGCCATCCAGAAGGGGTGTTTTTTTAGCTGTTCTGAACATCTTTTTTTTTTGTTGTAATTAATTTTCTTTCCCTAATTCATTGCTTGTAGATTAATGGCTGCTTATTTTGGGTTTCTACCATATTTTCTGGCATGATCAAGAGCAATGAATTAATCTTAATTGATGGATTACTATAGCTTAGTCAAACTCCTACTTAATGTGCTTGATATTTCTTGTGAGTAAGCTAGTTTTTTTTAAAACCTTGTCTGTAGTCAAGTTTCTTAAATTAAGACTTGGGCATGTAAGATTCTTTGTCACATCCAGGAAGCACAAGATATGACCCAAATACTCAAATTACCAGAGGACAGCATTTTGGTTTATAAACATTAGCAGCACAAACAAGTCTGAGCTAAGTAATTTTAGAAAGGAATTTCCCCTCCTGGTAGTGTGTATTACACATAGATGTTAATTAGGGATTTCTCATATGTAGCTCTTGGAAATCATTTTTATGCTGTTTATCTGAGGCCGGGTCTGTTTATCTGGAATGGGAAGGTTTACCATTGTCCCTGCATGACGTGGTTTACAAACTGATCTGACTTTGCGTTGTGTGCCTGAGAATTTACGTCTGCGTGATTATCTGCAGTTAATGATCATACAGGCCTTCCAGAACTGCTGATGAGTCCTAATTTTGGCTTTGTTACCCACACAATTGGACTGCCCTTGGTGGTGCTGAATGGATTTAAACAGGAATGTTGGATTCCTCTGTACAATGCGCAGGGATTTAATTTCTAGTGTTTCTGATGGGAATTTGGGATCCCTTGATTGCTGATTTAGGATGGTTACTTGTTTGAAACCCCGGGGGGGTTTGCCCTGGTGCTGCTTGTGTCCTGGCATGGCTTGTTGAGGACCTGCAGCCGAAGTCTGTGTGCTACACCACTGTGTGCTGCCCTGCTTTCTGCTCCACAGGGAACACTTCCTTCACCTGAAAGGCATTGCTCTTCCAAACTGGTATGTTTTTCTGGACCCCAAAGGCTGATAATCCGTGTTTGGGATGTGCACATGCTCATGTGTATCTGTCAGTGGAGTTGGACATCTTTGCACACATTAGTACTGAGAACAAACACATCACTTCTGATCTCAAGATCTAACTGCCAGTGCTTCTGTCCTGGTTAAACACACAATTGTAATTCCTCTGTCATATCTGTGCTGGCATATTCCCTGATGCCATACCGAATTTCCCCATGTGGATCAAATTGGGAGATTAAAAGTTTTTTGAATTTAATCTGTATTTTCATTGCAAGAGTCATGGTAGGCCTGCTTAGTATTCATTCAGTGTTCTTGAGACATCTCTGGCAATACTGGAGTAATATTGGCATGGTCTATTAAAACTACAGTGAATAAAACTTTAAGACCCAATCTCTTGATTTACATTTCTTACAGCAACATCTAATAGAATTGACAGGGCATAAATATTAGCCAGATTTTCTCCTTTTATTTAGATCCATTAAAGGCCTTTCCAAGCAGATAAAGGAAACTTAAATGATGAAAATGATTAAACAATAAATATAAAGCATTAGCTTGGAAATACCTTACAGTTCTTGCTCCTTAGTAAGCCTTCCCTCAGACCCATATCCTCTTCAATTAACACTACATTACAGAACAGGTACAGATGCAATTGAAATGCAATCAGTTTTAGCTGCTGCACCATCCCATGTTTTATGTGTTCAGGTGTTGAAAAGTGTACTTTATGAAAGAGGCAGTTTTATTTGGCTTTTGCTAATTTCTTGGTTTCTTGTAATTCCAGTATTATTCTTCCATTGTAAACGTCCATGCTTTATGATAAGCACTTAAAATCCATACATAATGAAGTTGAGAGCATTAGGCTCTAACAGAACAGTCACCTTTGCATTTTTAGATTTCAGGCTGAGTTTTCCCTCCATCTGGAGGGTCACGCATGAACAAGTGCAGAGCTGTGCTGTCCCACGGGAGCTCTGGCAGGGATTGTTTCCCTGGAGCAGGGCGTTCAGGAGCAGAAGGGGGACGTGCCCTGAGATGTTTCAGAGGCTAAAAGCATCCCTTGTTCCTCCTCTCCTTCCTGACTGGAATTCCAGTAATTGTTGTGGCTTTAGCATCGCCCACATCAGCGAGAAGGCAGACTTTGTTCCTTGCCACTGCTCCCTGTGGTTGCCAGCGTGGATCCTGGGCATTTTTGATTGGGGATAGGAGGGCATGTTTATCTCATTAAAATGATCATTAGCATATCCTTTTGTTGACGTGATCTTTGTCGTGTTCCTTCTTCTAATTAAATTGTAGCCTGTTGTATGGTAATTCTTCTGCTTTCCTGAAGTCTTTCTTCTCCTTAAGGTAGCTGGAGAGAGGGGAACTGG